TATGTTAAGATTGTAAGAAAAACCGCAACACTATGAAAGAGAACATAAGCATAAAACGCTTTAAGCCACTCAATTGAAAAAATCACTGAGTAGTAAAGGGTAACTTTGTCGCACAGATTGGTGAGAGACCGGCCCCAATGCCTAATTTCAATAACAGCTAAAGTAAATAATAGATGGAGCCTTTAAACGAGTCGCAGAACGAGTTATCGCTGTCAGTGGGATATCTGTCAGCGAAAGCATGTTGGCAGAAAGATTCAGAATTAAAAAAAAAAGATTTTTGTCTTGTTAAACGACAGGTATTGTATGATAACTATTTTTTTTCTATTTTTTAAAAATTTATAATGATAAACGATACTATCTAATTAAATAATCATTACATAATAATAACATCACACGCCATTTCTACATACTACATCATATATATATCATACTATAACCCAGAGAACAACGAGCACCTTGCAACTTGAGGCATTGACATCAAGTACCGCGCTAGTTCAATTGATTTTTTTGCAATAACAATGATCGTTTCTCCATTTATGAAAAAAGCATTTTCAATGGGAAATTGGACGTAGAATACGGTGGTCATACTTGAAACATACTAAGTGGTAGGTTTCATAGTTGACTTTAATTCAAACAACCAAAGCGTTTTCAACACCATGAAATTATACAAAAAAATTTTTTGGATGTATTTTTTTTCAAATTCACTCTTTTACATTCAAAATAAAAAAAAGTTTTTAGTGGATTAAAATGAATCGGATTTACAGACTTGAAAATAAATCCACAAGTAAAAATTACCGAAATTTCAGATACTGAACCCTCTCAATTGGTAAAAAAAATAAAATTGTTCGAACAGGTATCTTTTATCCTTTTTTTGTCTTTTTTTCATTTCTAACTTTGATTCTCTTGTTCTAAGTGCTTCTGGGATTTGGGGCTAGTCTTTTCTGTTTTCGATAAGTTCATCGATTTATTGTAAATCCCTAGTCTCAAGTACCTCTTCGGTTATTTGCTGAATTGTGTTGTTTCCCTTTCTACTGATTCTTTTAATCCTATTTTTTTTTAATGTTAGTTTCACCATTTGCGCTTTTAGGAATAGCTATCTCAATGTTTGAAAATTGAATCTCGCATCTTGATTTATTTGTAGTACCTACTTGTAACTTTCTCTATTTTTTATCATATGATTTTACTCGATAACTTTTCCCTTTTTTTAAGAACCCTATCTAGTTCCACTTTTAAACTTCGTACCTCTGCGCATACTGTATTTTTGTCCTCAGTTACCATTGTTAAATTTTTCTTTAGTCCTATTATTTACCCCATCATTGCGTTTACGGTCCATCTCGTAAAGGTGTATTTTTGTATACTTTTGCCGTTCTGATGCTTTTTCGGCAAGTCATTTTCCGTGCCCCTCTCTTGCTAACCCTCTGATGCTACCACTCCTTCTGCCCTCTGCTGCTCCTTGTTGAAATTTATTTTTACAATTTCTGACACTACGAATCATATTACATAACACAAACTACCAGAACTACTCTGTTTCTTATCTTAGTGCTTTTTTTCCCCTACTTCTTCTTTACTTGTTTGTTCAATTTCTTCTAGTGACAATTTCTTCTTTTCTGTAATTTTATTTTCTGCCACTTCTTGGTGCTGTCTAGGATACGTCCCTGTGCCTGGTCCGCTTTGTACTCTGACAAGCGTGTGCTCTACTTTATTCTTCTTGCCCACTGCAATTTCAAACCCAGAACTTTCTTATGCTAAAATGTTTTCCGTATGATTTTTCTCCTCAGTCTCTTCAATTCCCATGATGCCTTTTATCGGTCATCTCTCTTCTCCTTGTTTTACTTATTTCCTCTTGTCTTTTCTCCTTTGTCTTGCCCACGATCTTTTTCGCGTTCCCGGTCACCCTCTTCACCGCAGTTAATTTTCCCATATTTTCTAGAAATATGGGCGTATAAGCTTTCAATAACTGTTCCTGCTAATAAACTCCGTCTGATCTTTTGTTAATGCTTCTTTTTCACTTTTTTCCACTTTTTCTCACTAGGGGATCACTTGTATGCGTCGCGTCTGATCCATACGTGTTACTCGTACGATAGCGCAATTCAACCATTTACTCCTATTTTCTAACATTGTTGATTTGCCATTCTCCAATTCACGTGTTAAGATCGCCTAAAATAGTCACATTTAAAATTTTTTTCTTTTACTCAACTTTTAAATTTTTCTATTTCAATATAAACTTTAACATTATCATGAACAAAAAATATGCTTAGCTTAGTAATATCTCTTAAAATGGATCCCGTTGTCATAATCTCATATTTTCTTAGTATAACTTCTGTTTTTTCAACAATTTTTCTCTTCCTTCCTCTACAAAGTCTTCTTTTTCTTTTCTTTTTTTATTTTTTCTTATGGTCGCACAATTTTTCTTATTTACAACTTTCATCTAGTTTCCCTTATCAAGCACGTTTGTTACATTTTTTCATCCATATTTCTTGCAGTGCAATAATATCAAGTTCGTACAAGTATTTTGTAGTCATCTTGAACTTTTTATGTCAGCTATGCACCTAGATTATATTTTAAGGGCCTTGTTTTTATAAGTTTTTATTTTATTTTAAGCCACATTTCGGTACTTTTTTCTGTCCCTTTGTTCTTATATTCCTTTTTTCCATCCTCCTTACGCCTTTAGCCAGAAGTCTAACTTTTTTGTATCCTATGAGAATTCTATACTTGTCAAATAATTAACTTTTACAACTCTTTTCTTTTTCAGCAAATTTTCTGTAATAATTGTAAGTCTATATTTCGTCTCCTATTTTTAAAATCTTTTAAGGGCTGTCACAATCTTTGAAAGAATTTAAAAAAAAAAAAAAAAATTTTTGCGAATTTTTGTAGAAAAAGTCCTTTTTTCTTCGGTAAAGAACTTTATGTATTACGCGTGATTTAAAAAAATTAAGTTAAATACTATTGATTTTTACGCACAGACAAGCAACTGACTCTATTTACATATGTAGAGACATTATAGCATTAAAACCAAAATAACATTCAACATATAAAAATTTACCAAGCTTGAGGGGTCCATGGATATCCGGTCAGAACGAAGTTTTGTTCGCGTTTTTGTAGACGTTGGCGACGTACAGTCATAAAGTGTAGGATGAAATATCAGTTATTTGAGTATTTAAAGTATTTGAGTATTAGGTTCGAGTACAGTCATACATTTTTTGTGTTAGCACATGTCCTACGAAAGCAGAAAAAAAAACATTAATTGTGACTGTGTCAACACAACAGCATAATTATTCTTGTATACCAACAATTAGGTTTTTAATGTTTTAAAATTATCACTATAAAAAATTAATTAACAAAAACTAATAATTATTCCCTAATTTTAAAAAAAAATTTTTATTGTGCAACGCTATACTTATGTTTTCTCAAGGTTACTTTCAAATGTGGTTCATAGACATGGTAGTTTTTTTTTCTATACTGATCAAAAAAAAATTTTCACCTTCTGATACTATTAGTGTGTTATAATAATAAATAATGAATTTACAAAGACGTTAATTAAGTAAAAAACTTGATAACAAAAAGATTGGCGGTCGTAAAATTATTCTGCGAGTAACAAAAGCAGAGATAAAAGCAAAAATCTAAATAAAAAATTGGCAACGAATCACAAGTTTTTAAATAAATAAATGATGTTAACTTCTGATTTGGACAAAACCACTTTTCCCGTATTTCTGGGGAAATTCTATAGGAGAATAAGCAATTTGTTCTTTACTAAAAAACATGCGATTGAATCGTATTTTTTCTTTTTGGGCAATAAACTAAACATCCACTTTTACAGCCAGTGAAATCATGTACGGTGCAATAGCGCGAGGTGAAGAAAGTGAGAGAGAGAGAGAGAGAGAGAGAGAGCTGCCTGCAGCAATGTATATAGCTTAATACACGGCTGTATTACTATAGTAGGGTCGGAAAAAAGTCTTGTTACACTTTTTCGGTCTAGCTTCCATGCGCCCAAAACTCATAACGCGATAAAAGAAACTTCGTTCAAAAACTGTCAAGCAAAGGCTGTTGCGCGTGGGGCAAAACACTGGCTGCAGATGGTTTTTGAATTTCAGTTAGTTACTGTACATAAATATACAATTACGAACATACTATAAAAATATAGGTATGTAACATGCTTCATCAATTAATTAAATAGAAAAACTCATTGTAACAAAAAACATATTTATATAAATTTCTGTGTACCTTTTTAATGTGACTAACTTGTGAATTCAAGATAAAAGATCTCTTAAATTGTTGTCTATTTTTATTTATGTTTGGTGTTGTGAGATGTAAATTTTGTTATTAATTTTAGCCTGATAGACTGGCATATGTATGAGAAACATGTCACAAATAATTATATTCTGGGACTATAATAAAGGATGTATTTAGACAGGATGCCACTATGCCCTTTTTTTATTAATAAGTTTTACTTTTTGAAAACACAAATTAACAAAGAAACTTTATTTTTTATTCGCTTTCCTACGCAAGTTTTGGCAAAAGTTAATTAACTGATGAAGATTAAAGGACTATGTAGATATGTTGGGCTATTTAAAATTGTTTGTTTTTCAAGTTGTTTTTTATACAATTATCTTTTATATGAAAAAATTATAAATATTTTAAGTTTTTATAAATGATATTCCTTGCCTCACGTTTAGAGAAAGAAAGCATTATAGAAGGGTTATTGAAAGATTTTTTTTTTTAAATCGACCTTTCGATAGCATCGTAAATTGTTAAAAATTTCTATGATTGAAAAATAGGTATGTTTTAAGTCAGTTAATTTCGAAATAAGGAGTAGATTTTTGAGTTTATTACTAAGGTATTGAGTTATTATGTTCGATGAAAAAAAAGTTGTCCAGGATCATGTTTACTTATTTGTAATGAGCCAGCATTTCAATTTAAAAAATCACAATTCTTAAGCTAAATAAAATACAGGATAAAACAGCCAATATTTTAGAAAAATTAGAAAATAAAGTGAGCTTAACCTCCAGAAAATCAGAAGAATCAATGTAGATGACGTGATCGAAAACAGCTTGATGACTGCCTTCCTTAGTTCCAGCGGGAAAGTCTGGTATGTTCAAAGTTTTAGGTTTGCTGTACGGGTAGTTGCATATTGTCAATTTAAGGGGTTCTATAACGGCCATGTATCGTTTTGCCGTAATATTTAAATAGTCCCTAGCGTTTGCTTCAAGAGCAGAAGGATCGACAATAGATTGTGCTCCACTGACGCCCTGTTGAGCACAAAACTGATTAATAGCTTCAGGAGGAAAACCACGACGTCGTAAGGCTGAAAGGGTAAACAGTCTTGGATCATCCCAGTCATCAACTACTTTTTTTTCTATCAATTTAGAAATTTTTCTTTTTGATATAACAGTATAACTAACATTTAATCTTCCATACTCCCATTGCACTGGACAGTAGATATCAAGAGCATTACATAACCAATAGTAAGAAGATCTTCTTGATTGAAATTCTTTTGTACACAATGAATGAGTAATATTTTCAATGCTATCACAAAGGCAGTGGGTGAAATCATACGTAGGATAAATGCACCAATCATTTTTTGTCCTATGGTGATAAGAGTACTTGATTCGATATGCAACTGGATCTTGCTTCCCTTCTTCTAGAGTAACTTTCATACGTAATGTTGCTTCACCCTCGTCTATCAATCCATATTTCATATCTTGGAAAAGATTTAAGCTTTCTGATGAAGATCTGTATCGCCAAGGACTTGGCTGTGGGTTGAATCCTTTTATTTGAAGAATACTCTGATGACACACGTAAGCTAAGTCTTTTTCAATTAATTCAATTGCCCATTGAAATAAAGTAATAAAATTATCAGAGGAGTAAGTAATATTCGCAGGTTCATAACCAAGCCATTTTACAATATCTAAGATTCCAGTAAAGAACTTTTTTTCTTCCTTTTCTGGATTTGTGTCATCATACCGTAAATTACAATATCCGTTAAATGCCGCAGCGTATCTGGAAAAAATTATGCAAAAGAATAAATATTTTTCATCAAACGAGAAATAATATGCAGTTTTCTTATGTTATTTTATCATTTAAGAAAGCAGCTTGAATAATGCAGTTTAAAAAACGAATAAATATTCTTGCACAAACAGACCCTTTATACTTTTTATGCAAATAATGTAATACTTATGGGTCTATAATGAGAACTACTTAAGATCTTCATCTCCAAATTTTCATTAAAAATTAATAACTGATTATTTTTAAATTCATGTAGCTTGAATGTCAAAATGTTCGTTCAAATATTTAGTACATCAATTTGTAGATGCTAATATTTAACATCAGATGGAACTACAACATTGAACGTTAAACAACCAGTTGACACACCCTAGTAGTACTAGAAAAATAAAAGTTGGAAAATAGTAACTATGCTTAAGGACTAATTAAATAGTTAAATAATTTTCATAAGCCTTACAGTGTCGATGAGTACGTCTTTTTTTTTTTTTTTTTTAAAACATTCAGTTTCGTGAGGAAATTAGGTACCTTTATGAAGCTTTTAGTAGGTTGAAAATAGTAGTATTTAGATTACACGTATACTGAATTTTCAATTATCCTATGTTCCTAATTTGTACCTTCCTTGTTTTTTTTTTCCATACTTATTCTCCTTTTCCCCAAGTATGCGAGCTTTTCGTGCGGGCACCTGGCAAAGTTCTCCTCAGATGACTTGATCATTCATCTTTGTGGGTACTATTTACGAGGTGCCGCAATTTCAGCAAGATCGGGTGGATAGTTTTTGCAAACCGCAGCTAAATGCAAAAAAATGAAGGTATATTGGCAATACGGCCTAAAAAAAAGTTGTTTCCAACGTTAGATGCAATTTTTTGCAGGATCATATTCTTTAATACTTACTCTACAGGTTACCAAAGTATCGAATTTGTTTGCAGTGTGGAAGTTGGTTATTCATTCCGGAGCTATCGTTATTTTTAAGAGCGCTTGCAGTTGGAACGTACTTGGTTGACAACAACGGACTCAAGCTTCAGAGAGTGGAAGTGGTTTATGAACTGGCGGCTACGGCGGCTCATTGCCCCTCACGCGCCGTACCGCCGTGCACAAATAATTCCCATGCGGATTATCATTTTTTAAGCAACTTCCACATAGCAAAAAATTTGATACTTTGGTAAAGTTGTAGAGTAAGTATTAAAGAAGAATATGATCCCGTAAAAAATTTCATCTAACGTTGTAAACAAGTTTTATAAGGCCGTTTTGCTAGAGTACCTTTTTTGCATTTAGCTGCGATTTGAAAAACTATCCATCCGATCTTGCTGAAATTTGGTGTGGTTGTTGAAGACTACTAAAGCTACAACTCTGCCAAATTTCAGCTCTTAATGTTAATGCAAAAGAGAGTTATTAATTTTTGTAAATCGGCTCAAAAACGAGGTTTTTGCCTAGAGAAAATCACTGGACCAATTGGGATCGATCGGAGCTTATTTTATTTGTCTTTTTGAAACGAATACTCCTATATTTTTATTTTTTTTTATTTTAAGGGTTATTTTTCGTTTACGACCACAAACCGAGTTTCACCATTTTTGTCATTTTTTTAAAAGTCTTAGCAGAAAACATTTTTTGTTCAATTTTATTACAAATGATTGGCATTGTTTGATTCTCTACAACATATTTTTTTCGAGCTAGTCTAAATTTCCATTGCTGAAAACTTAATTCAATCTCACAACAAGCACACTCTAGCTATAATAAGGTTTAATAAAAGAATCTTATCCAATAAACCATCTGACTTGTTGTACCGATCTTTTTGAAATCAATAGTGACTTTAGCTGATGAGTTGACCAGGCATTGACTTTCCTTCAAAAAGAACTCCCCTAGAGATCCAGACATCACTAGAAAAAATCTACTTATTGTTTTTAAAAGTCGGAAAAGTGAAAAAGTTAGATAATCAAACGAGGCAACGGTTGGCTGTAGAAAAAAGTAGATAGCCACAGTCCAATGTACATATGCTTCAGGAATTCCAAAACTTCATGATTAGAAGAGATCCATAGTATTTTCCTTATATTCTATTTCTCTATAAAGTTTTTTTGGTACATAAAAAATACTACCAATGGTAAATTTCTTATTTTAAGAGCACTGGTATCGAAACCTATAAATTGTTTTTAAGTTCCACTGATGTAAGCTCACTCTCAGCATGCATGAGTAGTTATACAAGTATAGTTGTTATTTTGGTCCACTTATTTATACCAGTAAATCAACGGTACAATTGTGAGTAACAACACCAGCACAGTTAGTTAATTGCAAGAAAATTGTTGTTGGTATCATTTTTCGATGTAACAACTAAATTGTAACGACAAGATTTGAAAAAAAAAAATAAAAAAAAAATAAAATAATGTTTAAAAAAAATCTTTAGAAATACGGCAACCTCACTTTTAACGTATCAATTACATCAAAGGATCAGTGGTTAAGACTTAAAGAATTTTACTAGCTTTATTATTTAACAAATTCATGGAAAAAAAAAAACAGTTTATGGGTGTACAATAACCTTTTATTAATATTTCTGTAATTACAGATCAGACCATGATGTAATAATATAAGGATGGTATACGGATGGTAAGATAAGAATGGTAAGGATAGTAATACGTGTATTAGTATGGAATTTGAGATGCAGGAATAAAACAATAAAACCAACGTGCGAGGGTCTTATTGTGATAAAATCAACTCGAGAGAATATTAATACACAATAATAATCTGTATTTAATAAATACAATTCCAAATAATACTCCATAAGAGCACATATTTTTCAACAAGAAACAAAGTCAATGAAGGCTTGTTTTATCTTATAATAACGGATTATGGCTCACCAAGCTGAGGACTGGACTCAAGCAGCAAATTGTAGTAAGATAAGACAGACGAACTGCACGAAGAAACGACAGCTCTGGAGCTGCTTCTGCTGCAAGTTGCTTCTTACGTAAGGTACTAAGGTATGTCTCCGACACAAACCTGAACGAGCGAGAGCAAAGAAGAGAAGATAAGTACGGGACGAAGCCTCAGAGAAAAAGGGGAGAGCACTCACGGTGTCGGGGCGGGAGGCAGCGCTCGTGTATAACGCACGCATATGCGGCTATGCAGCGTAAGAAAAAACTGGTTGGTTGACTACTACTGCACTCGTAGCACACACGACAGCCTCCCTACCACCAGCCTAGAAAGAAACAAAGTTAAAGCTGCTTGAGATCACCATCGGCTTGGTGGCACAGGGTCGTTTTTTAAATAAAAACTGAACAAATAGACCTCAATACATTTAGAGAATCACACTTGATGTGTAAATCAACTTATTTGTTTATTTTTGCACGCAATAAACGGTTAACATCATTGCAATACAATCATTAATTCTATTATGCTCAATGAATCTGCGATGATCTCATTAATAATCATAGAATTAAAAAAGAAAACATATCTTGAACTGCATTAATTGTTTTTGTTGACTCGTATGTAGCTAGTTTAATTCTTGTGTACAATATGTATGTTATATTATGTTAGAATTGTTACTTATCATAACATACAATTACTCATTATATTATGTACAATGATGATAATCATTAAAAAAATGGATTGAACATAATGTGTTTTTGTATCACAAGTACGTTATAATAGCCTTTTTACCACATATGTCACATTTTCATAATCAGAGTTGAAACAAAATTCTTTTGGATTTAGTCCTTTCTTTGGCCGATCTTTAATGTAACCTGCTGTATACCAAGCATATAAGAATGATTTTTTTTATCTGGGACTTGACAGTTGGTTATGCATGGGTGACTGCATTTTATTCATGTTGTTTCTATCGTGTAAATTAACATCTTCGCTTAAGAGTTAGACAGTATCTTAAAAAGTACGTATAAAATTTTTCTACGTACGAAAGCCATGCACATAAAGTGGTTGAAATTGACCTGTTGTACCTTCAGGAATTTATAATAGTATAAAAGTATTTGTTTCTAGTTTTACTTGGTAAATTACATCTTGGCAGTAACCTCTCAATAAATCTAATAGTAATACACTTGTTGCAGTCATTTATTGAAAATATACATCTCTGGCCCAAATTTTTAAATTTTCCTTAGTTAATTTACTAGATTTTGGAGTCATGACATGCACGTTCTCAATTGAAAATAAATTACTTTTTACAATTGATCCATATTCGCTGTTTGTTTCTTGTAAAACCAACAGAATAGGACACAAGTTTTCCTTCAGCTGATATGACTGGTTAAATTGTGTAGGAATGGGTTGTTCAATACACTGATTGAACGATTCCTTCAAGATATTTTTTATTTTTCAACATTAAGTGCACAGGCACTGTGTATTTCATAATTAAATCCACTTCGGTCTGAATTGTATACTTGCTTTCAACCATATTTCTTCATGGAATTTTTAACAGCTATGGGAAACACTTCATTTTTATCTAAAAAAACTTTGTGTACTATGAAGAGCTTTTTTTGTATTTACTTAAGTAATCTTCTGCGACAATATATTACATCGATATTTAAATTGCTGCAGCCACTTTTTTGGTGCTTTAAAATCTTTTAACGTCGTTTTTGAAGCTCTTTCTAGCAACTCTATTATCTCTTGCTGCATTAAATTTCTCCAAACATTCTTTCTTAATTATCCTTAAACAAAATCTATTCTATTGCCATTTGCATCAATTTCATCTTTTCATCTATATAGTTGTCTAGATGTTTTCAATTTGTTAAATTGGTGTTCAACCGTAGCAAAACTTTTTATTTGAGTACTACTTGTCAAAAATTCCACAGCTTTTTAAAAATATTGCAATCAATTATTTGTTTTTATACATTTTAGTCACCTTTTTTATATACACCTTCGTGGTTAACGTCATTTTCTTACTTGTTATCCATAGAAATATCATCAGATGGTATAAACTATCGTCAGATTGCAATGACTCTTCCACTTTAACATCCATACCTCTTACTTCTACAGAACTTAAAATAATATTAAACAATACCTCT